AAACTGTGACTAAAAATATTATCTGTGACTAACAAATTTGAAAATATGTGACCTCTGTTATCTATAAGCTTTTTAACTTGTGACCAATTAAACATTTGTTACCGATAATTTTTTTGATCAGTGACCAATTACGTCAACTGTGACCCTAATATTTTTTTATTTGTGACCATCTCTCCCCCTTCCTCCTCCTCCCTGTCGTTCAGCAGCGTCTGTGTAGCATCGCGACACTACTGTAAATCGAAGCAGCGTCGCGACACTGTTGCCTTTCGTAGAAGGGACACGACGCCGCTGTGGTTGGGTGGCTCCCAACAGCGTCCAAAAATCAGCTGGTGTAGTTTTCGATTGGGATTGATGAGAGTATTCGTTTATTTAACCTTAGCAATGAGTTGTGTGTGTGTGTTGTGGCGGGGTTGACGATGGTGGATCCGTTGTGTGTCGCAGGTCTGTTTATTGTTGTAGCAGGGTCGACGGTGGTGGGTTTTTTGGTGTTGTGGTGCATGTGGCGAGGGTGATGGATGTTTTTTGTTATTATTGTGGATGTGGTTGTGGTGGTATTGTGACAGGGGTGAAGATGTTGGTCATGCTGTGCAGGCGACGATAGTGGTTTGGGTGGTGGTTGTTGTTGGTGTTATTGTTGATGGGTGGTTGTAGCGGTGGAGGTGGAGGTGGCAGCGAAGAGTTTTTGTGACTAACTATTTGGTTGATCTGTGATCAAGTATTGGTGGCGGATTGGGATCGGGACAGGTGTTTGTGTGTATGTGACCAACTATATTAGCTCTTAAACTGTGACTAAAAATATTATCTGTGACTAACAAATTTGAAAATATGTGACCTCTGTTATCTATAAGCTTTTTAACTTGTGACCAATTAAACATTTGTTACCGATAATTTTTTTGATCAGTGACCAATTACGTCAACTGTGACCCTAATATTTTTTTATTTGTGACCATTTTTAACTTGTGACCAATTAAACATTTGTGACCTATAATTTTTTTTATTAGTGACCAATGACGTCAACTGTGACCCAAATATTTTTTATTTGTGACCTTGAAATAATACCAATAATTTGATAAGTCGTGACTGAAAATTAATTTTTATCTAATTAATTAGACATTTGTGACCAAATTGTATATAATTGTGACCTTCATAATTGCCGAAATCCGAGCATTCGTCCAAATTAAGAGGTGGTTGAACGATCACCAGAGTACTCTTCGAAATAGTAGTCGGAGTACTCGTCGATTGCCGAAACTGTCGTCGAAATAGAGTGGGCACCGGAACTGTTGCTGGAGCAGTAGGGGTTGTTGAGATGGAGTGGGGTGGGGTGAGATTAATTATATTATATTACAATTAAATATTTAATTAATTAATAAAAACTTGATTTTTGCAAATTTGAAACTTAGCACCTAATTTTTGATTTTGGCAAAGATAATATCTGATCCATAAATTTTTCCCATGACTTATCTATCCAAACTATTCAGTCCATGACACAATCTGTTTTAGGCCAAGTTCGATTGTCTTTAGATGGGCTCCAAAAGGACATCTAGGCCCAGTTTAGTTCAAGAATCCAGCCCCTTGTCTCAATTATAATGGGGAAAATTAGGGCCACCATTGTAACTGCCCTTCTAAAGAAAAACCCACTTTTCATGAAAATATTTTTATGATTGTGCTACATGTATATCACAGTTTACAAATTTATTTATCAAAGGAAGATGTGACGAGATTTCACTAAATCAAAATCTAACAAACCTAAAAAAAGAATCCTCCAATTTCTTTTTTCCATTAACCCACATCACATAAGCGCACAACTATTTAAATGGTGAAAAGATTTTGATAATTTTAATTTTAATTTATTGCCTCCTCATCAATCTATAAACAAATCTGTAAATGATAGTGTACAATGTTTGATAATAAGATTTATAAGTTAGTAGGTTTTTATTAAATTCGAAGTGTAGTAATATCAAAAGAGAATTATGTTTTGTTATTTAGGCACCGTTTGATTGCAGAGGTGGAAAACTGGTGGAAATAAAATGTTTTATAAGGAATTGATTTGCCTAGAAATTAATTTATTGAGAATTGTAATTAATTGTGTTTGATTGGTATAATTTTTCATGGAAAATACTGGAAGTTTGATGTCTGTCTGGCTTCTTTTTTTGAAAATTGTCCATGAAAGTGATAATTTTTTCTACCATTGGGTATGAAATTTGTTCCATTTGCCAAAAAAATTGAAAAAAAATTTATCATACCAAATATCATTTGTTTGGCTTTATTTTGTATGGAAATTATCAATAAAAGTGATAAATTTTTTTACCATTGTATCTAGACTTTTTTCCCAAAAAAAAAAAAAATTGGAAAGTTTTTTTCCACCAAAATATCAAGAATTTATTTTCCTCAAAAAGGTGGAAGATGAGAAAAAGTGAAAAAAAATTTCCCGGGAAAATTTTGCCTGTCAAACACCACAAAAGTTGGAAAATGGAAAAATTTTCCATGGAAAATAAGGCGAATCAAACGGAACCTTATAATAGTTTCTATTTCAAGAGAGCAAGTAAATATTAAGTTTTGTCTATGTGAATGTTTGCATTGGATTCATGTATTCCCTTATTTCCATCTATTTCGATTCTCAATAATTAATCTATTCAGTTCGTCCATTTTATACAACTGATAAAGTTAATATGTTAAATGTTCTTTTCCAAGATACACCAACTTATGACTAACACGAGACAGTCATATTCATATAAAAGTCATGCATTTATTTTAGATTGTCAACAAGAATGCATATATGAAAGAGATTATTCCTGATTCTAATTATAAATGTTGATTTTACCGCTTTTTAGACTTATTGTAAGTATTCTTACACTACAACAAGCAACTATTCAGTTATGGCCAAACAATCAAATAGTACAATGAGTATTTAAAATCAATCAAACAACAAAAGAACTTCCTAAATTAACTTCTTGAGTTGATATAAATGAAAATAGAGTTCAAACACTCATCCAATACAAGTGAAAAATGAGTATAACGTGTTTGTAATTAAATTATAAAAGAACAATTAGAAAATCATCACGTCAAAAAGAAGCAATAATGAAGAATTAGAAATTTTCCACGTCCTTGATATGAATTTTGAATCCTGATGAAGAATCTTCAATATCCTATGCAATTCTCCTTGATTCTACGTTGTTAAACTTGTTTTTCGCCTCCAAAATTGATTAGAATCTATGATTTTTTTAGGTAAAAAAAGGTTCATAACATTTTCGACTACTTATTAAGGATGTATAGATATCAAACCAAAATTTGTCAAAACAAGAAAAATGAAAGAAAATCTTTCCCAGTCGGAAAGCTATGCGTACGCATAGTAGAATGACTTTAGCTTCAATCAACCTAAAATGGGATCTCGTGCACGCATCGATTGCAGACCAATGTGTACGCATAGCTTCATATTTTTGGGGCCAATTGTACAAATTGGTTCTTGAACTTTTTGCAAATGCATTTTTTTTTTTTTTTATCATTTTCCACTTGTGAGTTTGTCCATTTAGCTTCCAATTGCCTCCAATAGAGTTTGTAACATCTTCACTTCATGTTATGTTCCGATGCGACTATTGAAAAGTTGCAATTTAGTCCCCATATTTTAATTTCATCATTCTTCTCTATTTTTAGCTTGTTTTCTCTAATTTTTATCAAATCACGAGTTTTACTTATTAGACACAATATAGCACAAATTATGTTATATTTCATCTAAAGAATTACATAATGTTATTATTTAAAATCCTAAATAAGTGTATAAAATATACTTATTATACGACAAACATTTAGGGCAAGCGTGTCTATTTTATCTCCATCCATTGTAACGGTCACCATGTTTCCATCTACCACCCCCAAAAAAGGGAACTTTGTTTTCAGTGTTTCTTATTTGATCTTTACTTTAAAATTGAAATATCCATGTAATTGTAGGCGAGGCTATGATCCTTGATGAACATTAATGTACTCTATAATTGCAAGAAAATAAAATTATGTGTTTATTTTTTAAAAATTACGTACGAGCGACAATAATTCACATAGTGCAATAGGATTTAACAAGGAGTATAAGTTACAATATGAATAAATTACATACCACTTTAACACGATTAACGCAATTCTATGATTGAATAGGTTCTATCGACAACCAAATACTGTAAGAAAATATAAATATTATTGAATAACTCTATTCGACAAAACTTCCGAATCTAAACGAAACCCTTTGTAAGGTCTATTAGAACTCATTGTAATGCATAATTTTTCTTTGATCACGTCAACTTGACAGAATCAATATAGGCGTCTAGATTCAAAAGATTTGAAGAATGTGTAGTTTAACGTAGGCAATAGCGACTGATTTACGCAGCCAACAAATCGTGACCCGAGTCATTTCATTTGGCAAAGAGCAAGAGAGAAAACAGATGACATTAGGGGTTACAAAAAAAAAAAAAAAATTGAATTTTTACGACGATAGAAAAATAGTAACACATGGCGTGCCAATGTTTTGCCTCTTATTTTATAGTGATATTCGAATAGTTTTCTGAAAGTGGCTAAAGATCTTTTAGAAGAAAGAAAAGAAGCAGATGCAGAAACAGAAACAAAAACAAAAACAAGTCCGTAAGTCATGCTAAATGGCCTTAATACCTTTATTGGACAGCCATTAGTGGAAGTGAGTTCAAATTCTTCCTAGCTATGTAAAACTAGAGAGTAAAAAGGCATAAGCAAGCAATTGTTAATCTAGATGACTCCCAAACACCAAAAGACAATCAACCCTTGTGCTTAAATATCAAGATAATGCTCATGTATAGAAGGTTTCGATAGCATTCTTACTAGATTTTATAATTACACGAGTCATAAGAAAGCAAAGAATCAATAGGACCATTTATAAAATGATATTTGCAGCATAGATTTTTAAATGTCCGGCGCTAAACATCTAATCCCGAGACTAAAAAACAATAATTAGGTTCGTGTGAAATTCAAAAGCACTTTACCTACTATAAGGTCCCGCCACTGGAATCTCCTTTCCCCTGTTCAAGTATTAGTGCTTGCTCATCCATATGAGCCATATCGTAAGTCGCATGGACGCCAGCTAACACATAGTAAACTAGCATTACGGCACTACATATGATGAACCGCCAGATGGCTACAATACCAAGAGATCCTATGAGGAAAAGATTCATTGCTATTGACAGTGACGGCAACCATGGAACAAGTGGAACGCCCCATACTTTTGGAATCCTCTGCTTCGATGTCAAGGCCATTCCTAAAGTACCCAAAAACCATAAGCCTACTGTCACAACATACCCAATCCATCCTCGATATTTAGAACTCCAAAGAATCGTAATCCCAAGTGATGAACCAAATATTACAAACAACGAGATGACAAATTTGATAGCATCACACTTCGGAGTGACGTCCTTGACGTAGTAACGCCTGACGAGCAATGCCACAGCCATAAGCATGAAAATGAAAAGTGTACTAAATGATAACACACTCGACAAAACATCCAGACTCGAGAAGAAAGCAAGAATGCAACTACCGGTAGTTACCAAGAGGGTAGCATATATCGGTGTTCCAGTCTTTGGATGAACCAAAGAAAAATAAGGAGGTATCATATGAGATCTAGCAATCTGAGTCGTGTATCGTGCTTGTCCCATAGAACCAACAAGCAAACTTGTTGTCATCCCCTTAAGTGCAACAATGCTAACCAAATACTTAGCCCATTTCATCCCAATCCCCACAAAGGCAACTGAATAGGCTGCATTGACATCTATCTGAGTGTACTTCACCATCATGACCAAAGCCAACGACATCAAGCAGTACACCACAGTGATCATAGACATTGAACCAACCAACCCGATGGGTATGTCCCTCGAAGGGTTTTTAACCTCCTCAGCCATGTTAGCCACCATATCGAAACCTGTATAAGACCAATACACTACTGCCGCAGCTGTGAACACACCTTCGGCACCAAACGGGAAAAATGGCCCCAGATTCTCAGTCTTCCCATGCACAAACCCAACAACTATCACGAAAACGATCACAATAGCACTAAATATAGAACTAACATAGTTTAAAATTGAGGTCCTCTTTGTACCAGTCATGGCAATACCATTAGCAACTGCTAAAACAACCACAGCTAAAGGATCCAACAAATTGAACCCTTCTGCAAAGGAGTTGACCCTGATTCTCATGAAATCAGGGTTGTTACTGAAAATACTGGCAAAATATGATGTCCATGAACGGCCTAAACCCGCAGCCCCAACAAGGCCTTCCAAAAGAATATTTCCAGCAGCAATGAAAGCAACGAAATCTCCCAATTCAATTCGAAGAAAAGAGAATGAACCCCCGGCAATGGGAATCTCAACAGCAAATTCTGTGTAACAGAAAACCGATAGCAAAGCCGACAAACCTGAGACCGCGTAAGAGAGCACAATAGCCGGGCCGGCATCGTTGTGCGCTTCCTGGCCGGTAATGCTGAAGATTCCGGAGCCAACCACCGAGCCGAAGCCAAGCCACATGAGGTCCCACCAAGTGAGACATTTCTTCATTTCATTTTCAGATTGTTTCTTGCATTCGATTAACTCCCCGGCTTCGCTGGAGCGGCCAAGAAGCCGGTCCTTGAGGCGATACGGGGTTTTGGATAGAGCTGAAAGGTAAGTTGACAAATTCTGGAAGGTAGGTTCGGGGTAGAAATCTTGTTTGCTGAACCGCCAGTATGATCTGCCGGAGGCGGTGGCAGACTGCGGCGAAGGGTCCATTCTGGCTGTGGCTGGGTTGAGGGGAGTTGTCAAATTTGAATCAAAATCTTGGGATTCCGATGAGATCTTAATACCCATCTCACGGTAGAATTTGGGTACAGTTGGGAAGTAGATTGATTGGTTGAGGCGGGTCACCGAGTGGAATCCCAATAATCAAGGAGAAGGATACATGAATTCGAATTGAACTAGGAATTTTGTTGTATGATGTATCTAAACAACTATCGTTCTCTATTCATATGAGGTAAAATGTCCCGATTCCACTATATCTCTATCCTCGTCCTGCCCCTCTGAATTATTTCTTACTTTATTTTTATATTATTAAATTTGAATTTTATTTAGAAATAAAAATAAATAAACTTGTCAAGAATGTAGATATTTCCATTTTTACTCCGACGATTCCATGTTCATCATACTAAAATCTCTTACGAGGGCTACTCCGTCCACTCTAATCTTTTATCAAACAATTTGCAAGTAATTCATAATTTATAATATTGAGGAACATAAACAAGATGCAATATTGGGTGAAATTTTATTTTAATTTCTTCATTTTAATGCCAACTTGGTGAAGAGCTCAAGTAAATTTACATTTCCTTAACGTCAATTACGTAGTGGAAAATAATTTTTTTCCCCTTGAGATTCTTAGTGTATGCAGTTTATAATTTTAATTGTCAACATAAAAATTGTAGCCCTAATAGTATGTTTCTTTTTGTTGATGTAGGAACTCGTAGCCACTATCTGCCCCCGGAGGTCCGACCACTGTGAATGCGCACTAGGTAAACCCCGCTCTAATTAGGTGATTTTTCAATATCCATTATATTTGTTTATAATACTTATCATTAGCATGAACTTCTAACCAATTGAGTCAACGAAACACACTATGTCTCGTCTAATACCATAATTTTTTTCAAAGCTAAAATATAAATTTTTATTACTTGAGATTATGGGTTAGAAATGAGCTCGGAAAATAAAGCAAACAATTAATCCACTAATTAAATGATAAGCTAGAAAAAGAAACATAGGCCATAATGAGGGAGCCATATTTTTCACATCTCATGTAAACAGTGACGGAGTCAAGATTCGAATCTATTGAAGATTTAATGTAACTATAGAAAAAAAAAATTTAAACAAGGATTATAATTTTTTTTTCTTTTCAGGGAGTTCAAGGATCCCGCTGGCCACTTCACTTTTCGCACTTAATCATACTTGTTGTACATTATATTGTGTATTATTGTTAATACTTTGTCACATGACATTATTCGATTGGACAATAAGAAAAAAAAGAATTTCATCCAATCATTTATTGATAACAATGCAAATGTCAACAATAGTGTAAAAAAATTCAGTATACAATTAATTCTCTTATTAATTTGGGCTAAATTAATGCATTTTTTTATTGCTGAAAAAGAGTAGAATATTGTATAAAATATATTGTAAATTAACACAGTACATGATAAATATCAGTGCTCCTTCGTGCTAAGGAAAAAAAAATACTAATGAACAAAATTAAATTTAAAGCATCCTTTTTCTCCATATTTGACTCTAATATTTTGTGCGAAGCAACTCAAGGGCTTCACCAATTGGTGATTTTGTGTTAGTTCGTAGCTTTCTGTAGTCTTCAAAAAGGAAAGGAACATAGATACGAGGTTGGTGGACGTCCACCAGCTGTGGCGGCGCCTCCACATTTTCATCCCTTGGAGCCAATACAAAAAATGCAATTGAGGTGCGAATTTTCGGCTCGTAACACTGCACTCTGTGCTTCACATTGCAAAACCTCCCGTTGCTCCAAACCTATTACAATATTTTCTATGATGAGTTAATCTCCAAATATATTCTTTTTTTCTAGACACGAAATTTTGTATAGGCTTATGTTGGACCGTCTGATGTATAAACCAGACTAATTTGTTTCATCGTGTGCACAACTTAAGATTAAACTCATGATTTCTATCTCATGTAATACCATGTGAATTCAACTCGTTTAAATTTGTTTATCTAAATTATGCCTTATAGCTCGTACCTTGGCCACATCTCCAACATTGACAACCAGGGTCCCTGGTATGGGATCAACTGAAACCAGTTCTCCAGTGTACTTGTCCACCGCCTCCAGGCCATTAACTGTCTCATCATCTTGCAGTATTGTGAGAAATCCAGGGTCTGTATGCATTACAGCACCTGTTAATCCTACAGTTTCATGACTGTAATTATATTTGTTCATTTTCAGTTGGCATGGCCAATGCTTGAACAAATCATGACTGCCCAACCCTAAACCTTCCATCAATTTGCTGCCTAGGTTGTGTGCAAGATCATACACAGCAAAAGCATACTTCTCTATTATCTCTCTGTTAAACAATAAAATAAGAAAAGTTCTTCAAACAGATAAGAAAACTAAAACCTTCAACAATGGTGACATATATACATTCAAGAACAGTACCTTTGAGGAGGAGACGCACCAACTTGAGCACAGAAATTGTCGACAGCTCCAGGCAAGGCCATATCGTATAAACTCAAACCATCAAAATATGGGCTTGCCATATTAGGTGGGGTGTATCCTTTGCCATGCTCAGGATGAGAGTTTCTCAGTTTGATTTCCATGGGGAGGTCAAGGAGAGAACGTGACACGGTCTTCATTTCGGACATGAGTTCCTTTGGAACACCATGGTTAACAATCCTAAAGCATCCCCATTCTTCACAAGCCTTCACTAATTTTTCAGGCAGACCTGAGAAATCTTGCATGTCAATTACTGGTACAGCACTACCCTTAGAGGCCATATTTTATCTTCTATTTTTTGATCTGTCCAATTAGCTCTCAGCGTTTTGTTAATGCTACAAAGCTTTGCTTTTATAGTGAGGATTAATCTATGTGGGGTTGATGTGAGTGGGGTGGGGCCCATGCTACTCATATGTGTACTGGCATGTTCCTTCTCTGTTTATAAGTGAATTGTCAAAGTTGATCAACTACCATTCAGTCCATGCCCCTCAGGATATGATTTAAATTTATTTGGTTAACCTTGTCTGGTTGAACTAGGATTTAGAAGAGATAATAATGCTAAAAAGCACTATTTAATTATCTATCGTTTATTATAATCGTTTCAATTATGACTTCTAAACGGTGAGTCGTGATTTTATGAATTTAATATACTAAAGAAAGAAACACATTATTCATATTTTTTTAGGTACATTGGTAAACTAATATTGACACGTTGAATTAGAAGCGTCCACTTTTATCTTTTTATCAAAGTTGATAACCTTCTAGATTGATAGTTTGTTGAAAAGTACAATTGAAAATTAATTCCACTAATGTAAAAATGAGCTTTCTTAGTTCACCAGCTAGAAACTTAGCTCCTGTTTGTACGTTTCCAATTTTAATACATTTGCCAACCTTTGTAAATGTGGCCGTCCTTTTTTTTTTTTTTTTGACTTTCTATCTCACAATGGGACCATGTATTGGAAAAAAAAAGGTCACAAAATTAATTCTTTTTATCAATGGCAGTTGAGGGTGAGCCTACCATTTCTTATGATGTACCTCTTTGGGAGTTTTAAGACAATATGTCTTGTAGAGGTGGATTGCATGTTGAGAGGGTAAATAACTCTTTTTTAGAATTATGCACTGTAAACTTGACCACTATATTACCTTTGATCTCATAAGATCTAAATGCACAAAATAATTTCACCCAAATCCTTCATTCGAAACTGTTATGGTAACCACGCTTTCAGTGAGGACAATGCCGTTACTTTATTTTCGATAAGCAGTACTTCATTGACATACAGTATAAGGAAAATTATGTTTGAAATTTGCAGACTTTACCTTCGTGGCAACTTTCTAGGAACCCATCTAGCTACATCATGTATATACATTCCTCAAGATGGTCATTCAAGTTAGCCGTCTTGACAATTGACATCCATATTTCAGATCTCATAATCACGACTTCAAGTGCTGAAAGATTATGCTCATGTATCGATTCTAGCAAGCAGATTCCCCTTCACTGAGCTTTTTGATTCCTGAAGAACCTGTTTAAAGATGCATATATGATTGGTGGCTCCACAATCTACAAGTCAGGTTCAATTTATGCAACCACCAAAAAATTATTTCCATAAGAAGCAAATACTTGGCCTCATCTGATATTATTTCCATAACAGTAACAACCCAGAGTAGCATCTTAATACGAAGACGAAGGTACTACACCTCTTTCACTAACTTACGCATTAACAAGTATCAGCTTTTATTTGCTATAAAATTTTGTACTCAACTATTATACAGATGATGTCATGGAGTTTCAGAATCAAACATAAAGGCGTACAACTATTGAGCTAAACTCTTCTCCTTCAACAGAATAAGGAAAATTCACTCGAGACACATATAATTAATTACTCCTCAAATTGCAAAACCATCTTCCAAGTCAAATGTCAACCAGATCTCGTTCACTCTGTTCCGAAACTCGAATGGAGAATTGTACTGTGCAACAATGTACTCTGTCGCATTCCCACCCGAATAGCTCTTGTCAATAGCATCTGACCAAATGGTTCCAGCAACACTAGCGTACAAGGCAGCAGCCTCCTCACCAACTTCATCGTCATCTACAAATCCTCCAAATTGCCTTACTGCAACATAAGTCGGTCCCCATTTCTGGACATGAAGGCCTTTAGCAGAAGGTGGATTTGGTTGGTTCTCTTTGGGAACATAGAAACTCACAGTGAAAGATGAAGCGCAGAAGGGACCATCACTTGGTTTCACTTCAGTGATCACTGGAGCTGTCATTTCTATTTTTAGTTTATCACTATTATTGCCCTGGATATAGCCAAATAGCCTGCAAGGGTGAAAATAAATTAATTTGGTAGCACTTCTCATCACAAATTCATCTATCACCAACAAGTTATTGTGAAGAATTAATCCTTCATCTTAAGAATGCTGATAAGTTCCCAAAAAAGGTGTCAAAAATGACATGCTGATCAAATATACATTACAGATTTTAAAGCTCTATAAAGGCAAACCAATATAGAAACTAGGAAATTGACTTCAGGAAGATTGACCTCAGGAAGAATTCCTGCACATCATTAGAAACTAGGGGTGGGCGGGGTTCGGTTCGGTTTTTTTCGGTTCCAGAAATTTTCGGTTCTTTAGTAAATGGAACCGTCGGTTCCAAATATAATTTTGGAACAGTTCGGGTTCGGTTCGTTTCGATTCGGTTCCGTACTATAATTAAATTTTTTAATATTTAAAATAATACTACATAAATACACTTGAAAGTAGATACTAATATTAGCCCCTGTTTGGAGGGCATTTTTTTCCCATTTCTAGAAATTTTCTTACCGTTAGACATGGGGTCAGCCGAAATATTTGACCAACTTGTGAGAAGGAGGGGCCCACTAATTTGAAAAAAATGATCCAATTTTTCATTTTTTCTTCACGAGAATGCTGGCCAAGCAGGGGCTTAATAACAAGAAGTAGATACAAATGCGAAGTTCGATCTTAGCAACTAAACCCTAAACCCAACCATGAATGGCTAAAATATCAACTAAAGCCTAGCCCAAGACCGAAATCAAATTCAATCTAAACTAAGTCCAATAGGAAATAAAAACAAAACTACAAACTAGCCCAAAATTAAACCCGTGTTAGGTTAAGGAATATATATATATATCAAATAGTTAAAACAAAAAATTGTTAATTTGTTTAGAAAAGTTAAAATAAATTGATTTATCAAAAAAAATTCGGTTCTTATTCGATTCTTCGGTTCTAGGTCTAGAACCGAGAACCGAACCAAAATTTTTCGGTTCTTCGGTTCTCGGTTCTTCGGGGTTTTAAATTAAGAAAACCCGCTCGGTTCGGTTCGGACATTTTGCCCAGCCCTATTAGAAACACAACATTTCATCCCGGCAGCAAAAACTTTACATTAGCAATCATGAGAAAAATAGACATTTTCATAACTATACAATCCGGGAAAGCATTTTCACACCTTTTTCTCCTTAGCAAATTTTTACTACAAAGGCAAGGGACAACTTTCTGACTAATTATGTGCTCACTACATGTACATTGGATTAGCTAGGAATTAAAAGAGTTAAGGAACAGATATGGTTGAAAAAAATTCATCAACCGCCATCCTAGCTAGCGCACCAAACATGCCATAGGTGTGGAGTTTGTGTAGCTAATTACCAAAGATAATTCACTGCATGTCAGCCAATTATAAATGTTCTTTTCAAGTAATGCAGTTCATATTGTTGCTTCTTTCAGTTCTTCTTGTAGAGTTCAATCGTGAAGTTATATTTATTCCAGCTGAATTCTCTACTAGCAAACTTTTACAATTATAAGTTTCGCCAAAAAAATTTAATTCCAATAATTCCGAGCCTAATCTTTTGACAAAAAGCAATGTGTCGCCCACAACACAAGGGGCCCGATGACTAGAAGCCATCCTCTATCACGGGCAGTCTGTATAGGGTTCCAAACTCAACGTAAGTATTATTATTTGGTGGCTCTTTTGGATTGAAGCACTAACAAAGAGGCAAAGCACAACCCAATCCCAAGTAATTCGACCCATTCACAAGACCACAGATTTTAGCATAATCTGATACCAATAGAATGAAAATGGGATCAAAACAGATAACTAGGATCATAAACAAGATGAAAAAAGCATAAAATTTTGAATGAACAGAACAACCATATCCTTACCGGAGAAAGCCAGCCCTGGTGGCACCGACCAAGGAAATATCATCAATAGGAGATGTAGAAATCCACATACTGGAATTATAACGGCGAATTTCAAAGCCATTCCCAGTATGAATCACGTCGTAGTTTGGGCACTCGATACGGTTGCACGTGGGCGGAAAAACCCAAACCTTTTCACCATGATTCCCAGGCCACAAGCTCGGGTTTGAGCTGGAGAGAAGACTGAGAAGAAACGAGAGATTGAAGAGATTCAAAGCAGCCATTTTTATGGGATTTTTTTTTTTTTTTGTGAGAAATGGAGCGATTGAAGAAATTAAAAGCAGCTATTTTTATGGTAATATTGAATTTTATGGGACAAAATCTAATTCAGTGGCCTGCATCATGACACGAAGAGGATAAAATTATCAAGAAATACCCAGCATAATGCCAAGGAGCCATCAATAAAATTAGTGGTGGCAATCAGCCGGCGAGCTCGGCTCGCCCTTTTTTTTTTTTT